CCTCACTTGGCTCCACTAGCTTCCGAGGCCCCAGTGGATCGATTGCAGGATTCTCATGCTCACTTTCAAATCCCTCCATGATCTTGCCCCATCCTACCTCTGTGACCTCCTATGTTCCTACCCTGACTGCTCCTTCCGCTCAGCATACACTGGTCTGTTTAATGTCCCCCACCTACTCTGAGGCTGAAGCTAGTTGAAGCTCTGAGTGCATCTGGACTATCAGTTTCTAAATGCCTTTGTGGTCTCGCTTGTATCTGTGGTTAGACAAAGTCCCAATGGGCAGCCAGTGATGCTCAGGGCAGAAGCATTCTCTTCCTGCCCTGGAGCCACAAGCAACATGAGGAATTGGGTTTCTTCATATCTACGTGTTAACAGCATACACTTTCTGTGATGCCTGTGGCTCAATGAGAATAACAAGTCAAAGGCCAGATGTTTTTAGAAATATTTGGATCCTGTTTAAAGCGCTCTGAGACGCCGTCCGGCGTGGAGGGCGCTATATAAATCCAAGTTGTTGTTGTTGTTTAACAAATCTGATATCCTTCTTTGGGGGAGATAAGTGGGGTCTCTTTGGAACTGGATTGGCTCCAAGGTGACATGTGTGGTAACAGAATGTCAGAATAGAATCAATCCTCAATGACAATCTCAGTAGTCCAGTTTCTTGACCAGGCAGGTCTGCAGTTCCCAGGGCACTCCTGATGACAGACCAGCCAACCTGGCTCATTGGAGGGGTACACTGGAGGCAGGGATTCTTTCCACTCAGCTCTTATTAGCCTGTTAACTGCAAGCTAAAGCTCTAGCTGAGGGTGTGGTCTTAGCTGGATAGGCAGCAGGAAGCTTGCCGTATGCTCATTGGCAAGCTATGCATTGTTAGCTGGTTAAACTCCAGCAGTACCCCATCGCACACTCTGGGGTCCTCAAGCCTTGGCTGTTCCCATTGAGCGCCTTATGCTCTCCAGGCTGAGGTTAATCGGGGTGTGTCCTTCCTGGGAGAGAGTGCGCACTCCATTCCAGACACAGAGAATTTCCATCTGTAGATAGTATACATGTGTAGAACTCTGTCTGGTTTGGATACTCTTGATCGTGGAGTCCTGTAACTTAGTGGTTAGAGCACTCCCTCGCGAAAGAGGGGACCTGGGTTCGATTACAGTGCAGGGTGAAACCTTAGGCAAGTTTCCTTACTCCACATGCCTCGATTTACCTAGCAATAAGTAGGAACCCTGAACGGTTGTTAGTTGTTTGGTGGATTGCTTTTCTGGGGGCAATGATCCCTTCAAAAAAAATGTTTTAAATAATAATTTGGTCACTTAATCCATGACTGTTTGTGGGACACTGCTGTGCACTAATGACTGACGCGTTTTGCCCACAAAATATACAATCAAGTCACTTTACAGTATATTCTGTGAAGCGCTTTGCGATGTCTCGAAGGTGTGACAAGGTGCAACATCAAATACAAGCATTATTATTATTATTAATAGGTTTCTGCATGTGTCAGACATCTGGCTGAACAAAAAAAACAAATATGCTATTTTGTATTCTTGATTCCCATGTGAAGTAAAACCAGCTCAATGGCTTGGTAACCAGTCCCCCGCTCCTGACCTACATGTTCCTGCAATGCTTTTAACATCTTCCTGTTCACTGTTGAAAGTTAAATCAGCCCCAAAAGCATTTGGAATTGCAATTTTGCTTTAGCAAACGACTTTCTATTTTACAGCTTGATATAATTCACATTTATACTGAAAAATATGTTCCACTGAATCATGCACAACCCATCGCTCTCCAGTTAATATCCTTGCATTTTCTGAGAGAAACTGGCTGGGGGTGGGGGGGTGGAACTGATCTTGTGCAAAACAAACTTTAAGCACAGTTTTGCTGTGCCCACAGGAACCCTCTCTGGTATCCCAGAGCCAGAAGTAGCCTGAAGTTGCTGACTCTCTGCCATGTATATCCGGATCCCTCACTGCCGGAACAGAACGTCCACCTGAACTGTAGACAGGACCTCGGTCCATCTCATCCTAGGGACAGTACTTACAAAAATATAGCCCTCTTCCAGCAGCATTGTACTGGAATGTCAGCTTAGACTATGAGTTCAAAGTGCTGATGTGTGGCTTTAACCCACAACGTTCTGCTTTAGAGGTGAGAGTGCTACCAGCTGAGCCAGGTTGACATCTAGCTTGTCAATTCCCCTTATTATTTTAATGGCCTCAATAAGGCCACCTCTTAACCTCCAAAGCTCCTTCCGTTGAAATTCCTGACAGCATCTCCTTGCATTGTTCTTCACCTGACAGTTTTGTTAGGTTGTCAGTTCCGTAATTAAAAAAAATTCCTCTGTGTAAATCAAAAGTAGCTTAAAGAATATTAGCGAACAGTAGCTGTGGTTTAGCTAAGCCTCAGGATGGACCCTTTAGGGCCTGTCAGAATTTTTCAGCGGAAAACCAAGAGCCCCATGAGATGCTCATTTTCTGTGCTCATGAAATGTAATGGAAGACAGTGAGACTCTGTATGATGTTTTTGAAAGCTGCAATAAACTGCATATAAAGATTGAAGGATAACAAATGCTATCTTGTTATTTAAAAGAGGCAAGCTTGAAAGTGATAAGAGTAGTCATCTTATATAAATGGGCAAAATACTTGAGAGTGCTATTCTACAATGACAGCTAGCATTTATATAACGCTATTCATGCAGGCTAGTGTCTCAGAGCGCTACACCTTGTGGTGGGATTGGACACCCAAGCAATGGAGAAGGGGAGGTGACACCCTTTTATCTATCTTTAAATATCATCCTAAGACCAGGTAAGTCTTGAGATGGGATTTAAATCTAAATAAAGAGGGGGTGAGGCGGAGGAATGCTACCAATGCTCAAAAAATACACAGTCACTACATTTACAGCATTGACATCTATGAAGCTGTTGAACGCATATGAAACTGTCAACCTGAACGACAAGCTGAATATTTCCTGTCACAGTAAGTAAAGCTGCTGTCAACAAAACAAACCAAATACTTGGCTACATCTCAAAGATATTTGATTTAGGAAGAAAGAAGTCATCCTAACCTGGTGTAAGCCTGTGGCAAGGCCAGATTTCAAGTAGTTGTGTGGCCTTGCACATCCTATCTTCAAAAAGACATTAACTTGTTGGAAGAGAATTTAGAGAAGCGCCTTAACCCTGTATGCAAATGCAGCAGCCAATTTGCTGACAGCAATCTGCCACAAATGGCCATGTAGTGAATTACCAATAAATGTGGAGTTTTGTTAAGCTCTTTGAGAGGTTCTCTGGACTTGAAAGGTTGCATATAAATTTAAGTTGTATTGCATAGGTATGTGGGGCAAGCACATCTGAACTTCCATTCCATGTGGAGGATGTTTGTTTCTTGTAGGGCTAACAGAGCGACTGCTCAGTAAACTGGTTTTCTCTCCGCTGTCATGGAACTGCAGGAGAATTATTTATCTTTTGTCCAGTGAAGAGCCTTAAAGCTAACTATTACTAGTAAGCTCTCTCTCTCTGTGTTTCTAGCTGAGGACATTGGAGAGTTGCTTGAGGCTAGAAAAAATAAACTTTTTTCACAGGCAAGCTCTCGATATTTAATATAATGAGCTTGTAAACTTGTGAACTACAGACATTTACCATTCAAGGCCATTCGGCCCATCGTGCGGTGGTATGTGACTGAGCACATGCAATAAGCGGTAGTATCAGCCTGTGTGTGACTCAGCTAAAGCTGCGTCTTCCTGTCTAAGTTAAAAACATTACTGCCGTATGTGCCAGTCTTAGTGAGAACTCTTGTGCAGTGGTGACACTCTGACATTAAACAACAGGTAAAAACAGCCAGAAACACACAAACAGTCAGCTCTTGTAATCTTTATAGTTTAAACAATCAGAAATAACTGGTTGGCCCATCGAGCCTATGCTGGTGCCAGCTCCTCTACTGGAACCATACATTACCCCTGGGGATAAGTAACATAGCACAGGAAAGTCTGACAGGGCAGCGTGTGATTATCAGCATATCACATGGCAACACTGTCCCAACTCCACGCACTTTTCCGCCTGTATATTTTATATTGTCTCTGCATTAGGCTCTGCACACATAATCAGAATCTTCTTTAAACAGGAAGGAAGGGCAGCTTAGAGTATCTTGCAAGATGCACAGTCACTACACTTCACGGAAACTTTGTGAAACGGTTTGAGATTTTCTCGACATTATAAGAGTTATATCAAATGCTATTATTATTACCCTCTTTTCCGGCCTCCTCTAAATCCACACTGTTTGCTCTGTGTGAAAGGGGCCATGTTATGGCTGCTGCTTTGGTTCTTCTACAAGAGAAAACTTAAAAAAAACAGGTGTAGTCAGCACGTCCAAGTTCTGCTAGTCAGACCGTGACCTACTCAGTAATAATAATAAAACTGCTTCCTCTGCAGTAGAGGTGGTTGTAGTTATACTCTCTTATCCTACTCCAGTACATGGGAGACAGAACTTCGTGCCTCGATACGTGAGATGGTCAGTCACTGTTGAAATGAACCTTGTTTTCGGTTAATGTAACTGGAACAAGTCCTGTGTTCTGATCTCAAACAGATAGAGCGTTGCAATTGGCCTCAGTTTCTCTCTCTCTCTCTCTACTCGCACTCTATCCCCTCACCACCAAGATCACTCCCTCCCCATTTTGGTCTATGGACAAGACAACCAGCCCTGTAACCTGGTCCCTCCCTTCGCTGTTTCTTCCCGCAGCACCGTGCTCCTGTGTGGATGCTGGATGAGGGTTGAGTCCTCTCCCACACTGGCTCCCCATTCCCCAGTGGATTAAGTTCAGAATCCATGGTCTTGCCCCACCCTAATTCTATGACTTTCTAAAACCCCACCAACCTGCCTACTCCCTCTGCTCGGCAAGCTCTTGCCTGCTTCATGTTTCATCTCCCATAACTAACAATTTGCAGGTAAAAAGGGGAGTAAAAATGTTCAGGTGATGCAAAGTGTGAAATGATTGAAATGAAATGAAATGTGATTTCTTTGCAGGATACAGAAATGCTGGCAGGTGAAGAGGAATCCTGGAAGGAACTCAAGGCATCTGTTCCAAAGGTGGAAGAGTTACAATCTGCAAAAGGTATCCTTCTCCATCAAGGGCTCAGGCTTCATTTGGGTTTATTTTTAATCCACCAAAGACCTGGAAAGTGGAGCTGCATTGCTATTTTTAAACAACTGTGTGCATCTCCAATCAGGCATGGGGAGTGTCATCTATCACAGTAACAGCCAGTAGCATTTGGGTCCCTTTGCTCCCCCTGAAACTGGCACGTCTCTATTCCAGAGAATGGTTATCATGGCCTTATGTTCAACCTCTCCTGATACTGAAAGAGTGCCAGTGTACTTCACTCTGCCTTTCACACCAGGAGGATGTCCCAAGGTGCTTGACAGTCCAGGATTTGAACCCAGGCTGGCGGTGGGGGCCAAGCGGGGGTGGGGAAGGGAAAGATGACCGAAAGCACGGTCTTAGAGGAAATGTTGTATTAATTACAATATATTATAGATTTACATTTCTTTAAAACATTGAATGCAGTTGAGACCCTGCCGCGCTTCAAAACAAAGTCTGTGGAAATTTGTGAGCAAGAAGAGCAAATACGACCCTGTGGTATAACTGAGGCCTTTACTCTCAGTGGATAAAGGGGACACAATGGTGTCGTTCAGGTGTACCACACCAAGCTAGACATCTTCACAACACAGCTGCAGACAGCCAAATGTATTTGTGTGCAGACTGGTTAAATCTACAGCCTGTCATTTAGGGTCGAGGTCGTCTTCAATTAGTGCAGATTTTACATGTTTGTCTTGTTTTTTATTATATACAGTATAAATTGAGAAGTTTTATTTTGAATCACTTAGAAAGAGCAATAATCTTGAGACCCTGACTGAGTGCTGTGTGAGCCACAAGAGAGCTCTTTGCTCGTCTCTTGAGCACAGTGGTTAGAATAGATGGAGCGCATTAGTCTCTTGAGCAGTGTATGAACATGTCGGGGCTCACTCATAATAGATGTATCTAATGGTTAGACTGCCTCCCATGCAAAATAGTTGGTCGTGAAAAAAAAATTCTCTCTTGTTTTCCTCCTGTAAACGTCGAGGATTTACTTCACTCACATGGATGCTTGGATCGGTTTTCAGAACCATGAATGAGAAACTGAGTCGGGCATTGAACCAATCATCCGTGCTACATAGTGCGGCAAGGTGTTCACCCGCCACATGATCGAAGGGAGGGAGGGAGGTTGCAGTGGAGCCCAGCTGCTTCCTCACTCTGGTTGTGGGAGTCAGTGGGGATTTCACCTTCCTCCACTTCTAGACACCTCTAGATGGTCTAGATCAGCCCCGCTAGGCAATGGTGCCTGGTGTAGGTTATTTGGTTTCATCGGTGTGTGACACGTGTTGAAACACGCGTCAAGTAAACAGACCAGACAGAATTCCGTATATGTAATGACAGCTACACAGAGCGTTTCATAAAGAAAGAAATATAACTAAACAAAGGAAGAAATATAAGTCACAAATGGGGTTTCAAGGATAAATAAAGGGCAAATGTGGCTCAGTTCATGCAGATTTGTGGGGGAGGCAAAATGCAATATGTGATGTGATGATTGTCACAGATGGTTGCCTCTTTGGATCTGAGCCTTACAGACCAGCAAGACTCCCGGTTTGTTCCTCAACCTGTGCTGAGCGAGATGGTGTAAACTAACGTGGCAATACGGCTCTTACAATTGACCTTAGCCCTCGGGTCACGGAAAGGAAAACATCAGCCAAGGCTGGAGATTGGGATTGGAGCAAATTATTCCAGTGGGGGAGTTAGCATCAACTCAGGGACAAAAAGTCAAAAGGCCTCTCAGTGTGCTGGGAACTTTCCACGATATTCTGATTTACACTTACCATCCCCGATTATTCTCCAGTGATTCGTAGAGTTCACTGTCCAGTAACTCGTGTTGAGAGTACAAACAGCAGCTTGTCTGGATGGGCCTAATGGCCTGTCTCTGAGCTGCACTATCTATGAATCTATGATACAGCACTGAACCAGGCCATTTGGCCTAACTAGTCCGTGTCGGTGAAAGGTCCTGTTGGAAAGTAAGTGTATGGGCGGCAGGCAAAGACATGTTCATGCTCAGCTGTGAAGGTAGTCGTAGAGCCTCTAGACACTCGTTGAATCAGTTTACACATAAATATTGGTCACTTATGTGAAGCACCAGAGGATGGCTGATATTGTGGAATTGTGGAGGGTAGTGGGGAAAGGGATAAATAAATATAAAAAGGTGTGATAGGCTCGAGGCTTCATAGTGATAATTATCACCAACATTTTCTTCTCCGGAACTGAGCTATACAGACCAGAGGGTCCCAACTTCACGTATTGAAGCTTGAAGCTATGTTGAAAGATGTCTATAGGGAAGGGTGTGTGTGTCTTTCAACTTACAGGTTTGAACTGCGGCATGTGTTTTACACAGTGCCTGGTGCCTAGGTCGTACCCAGGTTAATACGTCCAAAATGTTCTTGTTTTAACTGCAGATCACTGTTGAGTGATAGCAAAGAAAAAAAAGTGAGCGTGTGCCTTAAAGTATATAAATATTTCACCTCTGGAAGCTTAAAATTAACGGATGCAGAGCCGCCGTGGAACATTCAACGACGATATGTTTCGGGTAGGAGGGAGTGAGCTTTCCCGCTGGGATTGGAGAGCTCTGTGAAATGTGCAGCATTTAAGAATTGCGAAGAGTAAGGTCTTTGCACACATCATGTCCACCTCTGCCTGACTAACTGCTGTTTTATCTATATGTAATGGGAGGACCGGGGCGGGTGGGGGGGGGGGTGCAACAACACAGTCCCAGATGTTGGGATGGCTCAATTCTAAGCTCTGAATTTGAAGGTTGTGGATTCAAGACTAACATCATGATTTAGAACTCACATAGTCCAAGCTGACACTCCAATGCAGTGCTGGGGGAGTGTTGCTTTGTCGGAGGTGCTGTCCTTCGGATGAGACGTTAAACTGAGGTCCCCTTTGCCTCTTCAGATGGATGTTAAAGATCCCTTGACACTTTTTTGAAAAGAGAAGAGTTTCCCCCAGCGGCCAAGGCAACAATCCTCTGGATAAAATGAGTCATTGAATTTATGGCAGTTTGCAAGACCTTGCTGTGTGAAAACTGGCTGCTGCATTCAGCTGCAAAATGTTGAGTCGCCTCACTTTAATCCAATGAAGCGCTTTGAGTTGGCCTCCTGTTGTGAAAGATACAATATAAAATGAAAGGATTATTATTATGATTGTAAACAAATGCTAGCTGCTCCCGCTTTGAACACAATGACCAAAAAACGAATTAAATCTCAAGAGCATGTATTGCGTATGGCTATGAGCAAAGCAACCAGGTGCTCAAACCCCTTCAGAAAAGGGCGGATGCCCGCATTCAGTGGGAAAACAGCCACAAAACGTTTGCAAAACTATATCCTTAATTGTTCCCCCACTCCTCCCAAAAGCTCCTTAACTCAAGTTCATAACAGACTGGGAGCAAATGGTGGCTGTGTGCCAGGCCACTCTAGATAAGGATCGAGCTCTCCCAGACAATAACCTTTATGTGCTGAAGATGTTGGACCTTGGGATGGATGGCTGCATTCACCTGGCCCGCTGGGAAGATGCTCTACAATACGGCGCAAGGACTCTGCGGCCGTTCCAGTAAGTGCCAATCCAATGGTTTTCATGATGATGGGATGTACATGTGTCCTCCAACTGATGTGTTTGTGTATTCTCACCTGTACTAAACTCCTCCCCCGTTCAACTGGGTCTTCGCCAGGCTCCTCCATTGACTCCAAATGGATCAGTATCAAGGTCCTCACCCTCACATATAAATCACTTCATGCCCGAGCACCTTCCTCTCTCTCTGATCTGCCCGTACCCCAGTCCTCTGTTTGTTGCCTCCACTCAGCTGACACACACCTGCTGCACATCCCTTGCCACTTCAGTCACTACATTCCTAACCTTTGGAACTCCCTACCTGCATCCTTCCCCCTCACCTCCTCTCTATCTATCTTTAAATCTTAACTTGATACCTACTGGTTCAACCACGCCTATGGACACCAAATCCTTCTTCCTTGCTCGCCGTTCAACCCCACCACAGTAAAGCTCTCCTCCAGAGACGCTATCCTACATGAAAGCGCTATGTAAACGCAAGTTGTGGTGTAAATTTGAATGCGGGCATCCATCATCTACTGCGCTACATAATCACCTCTACTTCCCTCTGACGCAAAGATATTTTAGTGTTGCTCTCCCTTGATGCCGCCATTATTTGACAAGGGAAGGGGATGAGAATAAGTAGTAAGCAGCTGCTTTGAAGCCTATTTTTTAATCCACATTTATCTCTGTTGTTTCACACGATGGACTTGGCAATTCAGATGTAACAAATATTTTTCTGCCGTGCACCCATTTCCCCCATTCTGTCTCCCCAGCTAACGTAACTGTTGCCACTGGGTGGTGCTCCAGAGCAAGCCAGTGTGATGATCCTTATTGGTTATCATCCAGTATACCTAAAGTTACATGGACAACAGCACCAAAACAGATCATTACATCAGATACTCCACACGAGCCTTCACCCATCCTAAATCCCGTTTCCCCATTCTCCTCTCAAACCCCTCTATTCCCTACAAATACACAGTCACTACACTTCACAATAAAATCCTGTGAGGCACTCAGATATCTCAATGATAAGCCTCTTTATGAAATGCAAGGATTATTATTTCGCCTATAAAATACACAATCAATTCACTTTACGATGTACTCTGTGAAGCGCTTTGAGATGTCTATATCAAACAAAAGGATTATTATTATGTTCTTACAGTCTAAATCATTCTGTAGAGGTAATTTCTTAACGGGTTTCTTAGTGGTGGGTCAGCCAGAACAAGAATACCGCCACTTTACGTATGAATGGATATTACTTTTCATAATATATTTGAACTTCCTAAACTAGCAATTTATTATTATTATTTGATAATATTTTATTATGTTTATGAACATGATTTCCTTCTCTCTCACTTATGCACCTGATTCTTCAGGTCAGCACAACCCAAATCAAGAGCTGACCGAATGACTGATGCTGGTTACTGATCCAGCACACTGCCCTTCAGTCACACACCTCACTGTGGGGTCAAACTTGTAATGTTTCTTAAAGAGAGAACTATTGTTGAGAGAATAATAATCCCTTCAAAACCAAAAACAATAATAAATTGGTCATTTTAAATCTACGACTGTTGCATTCGCCCACAAATATACAGTCAATTCACTTTAGAGTGTGTTCTGTGAAGCGCTTTGGGACGTCCTCCCGACGTGAAAAGCGCTATATCAAATGCAAGGATTATTATTATTATTATTATTATTATTATTATTATTATTGAAAGGAAAGCATTATGAACCACCTCCATTTCAGCCCTATAGCAGGGCCAGACTCAGCCATAATCACTCTTTAGCACATTAAGCATCCTCTCCAAAAAGCACAATCCTATTAGTAAAAAAGTCTATTTGATATTTTCTCAGTAATATTTATGCTGAGCTGTTTTTTGGGGAATGGGGGTAATTGGACAAAAGAACATGGAAAGGATTGCCTCAGAAAGCTGTAGAAACAGTTAACTGTGGGGTGTGAGAGAGAGACCTGGTAAGATTGATGAGGACAAAATTGTGATCTGTGATGTGCTAAGTATCACATAGTCAGTGAGACGCTCTCTCTCCCCCTCACTCCGTCACAACGGTATCTGCTCAATGTAACAAAAAATGAGTTGAGCAGGTATTCCATTAACCGGCACTGACCATTGTGAAGGAGCCAGTTTTCAGGAGAAGGCAAGAGGGAGAAAGTCACATCTGCAACCTATCTTTAGTTATTAACAGGTTTTGTTGTCCACATTCATCAGCAAAGTGTTACTTAACACGTCACATGTCAAAATTTTTCTCCCATTAAGGGATATGAAGAAAAGGCAAGGAAATGGCATAAAGAGTTGTCATTAACTCAATGGTAAATCAGCCTCAAAGGGCCAAGTGGCCTGTTCCATTAGTCCTACTTTCACGATCTGTTCCCTTTGACTGGAAGCCTAACGTTTCCCAAACCACATTTTCTTAGCATTCTGTCATCTTTTCCTCGAACTCCTGTAAATTATTGTGTTTTTGAGGAAACGATTAACATTTTCCTGCCTGTTCACAATCCCCCACAGTGTTCCTGCTTTCATAATGTAAAATGTTGAGGTACAGAGCTCCACCTCCAGAGAGGAAGACAGATTGAGGCCATGCAGGGTGTGAATGGTGTGAGTTGTGCCATGTCAGCAATGTCAGCGCCTTGGGACATCCTCCCGACGTGAAATGAGGATGTCCCTATACAAATGTAATCTTGTTGTTGTTGACATGTCCGGGAAACAGTGGTCCTCAGTGTGACAAGTCATTGGAGGTGTAGAGAGGAAAATAATTTGGTAAAAGAGACATCTCCTTGAGGAGAAATGGAGGGTATTGAGGGGGTGCTGAGCAACAACAACAACAACAACAACAAGATTCCATTTATAGAGCGCCTTTCACGTCAGGAGGACGTCCCAAGGCGCTGCACAGTTGGGTCATGACCGAGCAGGGGGGAAATGGTCAGGGTGAGGGGAGGGAAGGGAGGGAGAGGAGGGGGGAAATGGTCAGGGTGAGGGGAGGGAAGGGAGGGAGCGAGGAGGAGGAAGAGAGTCGAGAGGGGAGGGGAGGGGAGGGGAGGAGCACATAGGGTATTGGGGGCTGGGCACACCACACAGGGTATTGGGGGCTGGGCACACCACACAGGATAAATTGGAGGCTGGGCACACCACACATGGTATTGAGGGCTGGGGACACCACACAGGATATTGAGGTCTGGCCACACCACACAGGCTATTGGTGGGGGCAGAAAAGTTCCTAGCTCATGGCAATACTGTCCAGATGTTAATCTTGAGAAAGTTCTCCCTGAGCTTATTGTGGGGTGTGTAACAGATGAACTTTGAATCACTGAGATCCTTGCATTTTGTGTCAAAGTTTAATTACAGTATTGTCTCCTGCTAGTGAGTGAAATAGCAAGTGAAAATACTGTATCCCCTGACACTCAGTCTTTTAATTTAGTTCATCACTCTTTTGTCTCCTTCCAAATGAAATGGATGTAATGAAGCTAAGTGTTGTTTTATCTTCCATTTAAAACATTTTGTTCTATGTTGTTGCCTCCAATAAAAGATGCTTCCCTCAGATGACTGACTCACACAGGTCTGGAAATTCCCAAATGTAATCCCTTCTCTGCGCTGGATCAGGTTACGAGGTAGAGTGGTTTGATGCCAGGTCGCTGGGCTAATTAAGAAACAGCTTGATCCTGTAATGGGAAACCATCATAATTAGTATTCTGGAAGGACACAATAAAAGTTTACATTCAGATAGTGCCTTTCATGTCAGTAAGGTGTCCCAAGGCACTGGACAGTCTACGATTTGCAGACGAGCTAAGCCTAAGGTGGGGTAGATGGCCAAAAACACGGTCAGAGGAAGGTCTTGAAGACTGACCTTGAAAGAGGTGAGTTGACAGGACTCCAGGATGGAGTTCCAGAGAATGGAGACCGATATACTGAAAGCTCAAACTCCCGTGGTTGGGCAGGGGATATGAAGCAGGCCTGTGCCTGTTGAACGGAGGGAGTGGGCGTGTTTGTAAGATTTAAGAAGGCTACAGAGCTAGGGTATGACAAGCCTATGGATGGATTTAAAGGTTAGTATGAAGAACCTGAATTTGATCCACTGAGGAAATAGCTGAGCCTACTGCAGAAAAGGACAGGAGCTGCAGAGTTCTGCATAGTCTGCAGCTTGTGAAGGGAAGAGCTCAAATGGCCTGAAGGGCCTTCTTCAACCGTACCTTTCTTATAATCTTGTAAATTAGCTGATTGTAGCCAACATAGTAGCTCACGTTGCTATGTATCAGCTTATATCCATAGAGGAGGGAGACACTGACCAGGATACCTGATTCTCAATGTTGCTCAGTGACTTCTCCTGGAAGTATATGTATTTAGACAGCAGTGAGGACTAGACTGCTTCAGCTGCAATGCCCTTAATGGCCCAATGACCTCCCAGGTTTGGATGATATTTAACGGGATAGAGACTTTTTTTTTGCTTAGCTGGTGTCAGAAATGCACAAAAATCCATTACCATGTTAAGAGTATCCAAACTAGACTGAGAGTCCCACTATGTCTTCTACCTCCCATGGAAATTTCCCTGTGTCTCAAAGACATCATAAGGCTCTATATCAAATGCAAGGATTATTATATTATTATTTGTAGACAAGGCTATTGTCATAAAATTGAAGATTGTGCAAAATTTTGGAAAGTCTTAAATTCGGTCCTCATTTGGAAACTATTTTTCCACAGTTCTTAAGAAGAAAACCAGTTTCAGACAGAACTTGGGATTTCTTAAAAATCTGCATGTTTTTGAATTGTAAGGCAATGGCCTTAAGGCTTAACTCTACGAGCAATTTCAGGCATCAAAAAGTATTTCTTTACACCAAGGATAATCAACAACCGGAACAGGTTACCAAGCAGGGTGGTTAAGGCCAGGACACTACTTTCATTCAAAAAAACAGCTTGATGTTGTAATGGGAAGACGGCAGGAAAGTGTCTGTGAGGATGAGATCAAATAAGCTTGAGGCGTTCTGAATTGATCTT